ATTTGATGTCTTCATATTCTCCCTTTTGATGATAATTTCATGCATAACGCCAATTATTACTTTTCAACATCTCTCGAATGAAAGACTCCCTTTTGACTTCTCTTAGAATCGCCAAGGTAACTGACAAAACGAATGGTCATAAATATTTATTACCTCAACAAATATGGTCAAGCCAGGCAATTGTTGTTGATAATTTCTCTCTCTCTCAAAAAAAAAAAAGAGGCTAGTCAAGAGAAAATATTATTTTAATGGCAACAAAGCAAACAAAGAGAAGACATGAAAAGAGGGGGAAAAATGCAGATTCAACAGTTTCCAAATGTTTTTTCTCTTTCTAACATTGTTGTTATCCTAACTCGAACACAACGACCGAACATACGTTTTCAAACCAACACCAACACAAATACAGCGACATTAACGCCAGGACCTATTAACAAAAGCTTAACAAATGAACGTGACGAATGTATCTGCAATGCAAATTTTGAAATGCTATTACGCCTTTGAGAATTCGATGGGGCCAAGCCAAGACACAGACAGATACAGCGACCGAAAGAAGCTGTAGAGAACGCCGCATAATAACAAAACAGAGTATCAAATTACAACGAAATGTTAAAAATAAACAGAATTTTAATATCAAAAGGACCCTAGCGGAATTCTAACAATGGACATTGGACCCTGTCGATGGGAGTAGTGGAACAGTGAAAATTATTCATGGAGCAAATGTCTGGTAATAAGAAATGAGAAACTATGTAAACAAGACAAATAAAGTAAACAAAGAAAGGCTATTAGACATAGAAGGCCCTGCGGAGGTGTTGTATAGATGGCAAACCTTTCAAAGGTGTTCCCCAGATGGAAAAAATTCTTCCTAGAGACGTCTAAATATTAATACAAACCCTTCTTTAGGGGTTCCTACAACATATACAAATTAGAGGTTCAATTTAAAAGCAACGATTCAAGTTCTGAAATCGAAGAGAAGACTCGTTACCATTTTTCAAATAGAACCAGGCCTCCGAAAAACTTGCGAGTATAATTCTGGGAGCAGAAGAAGAAAATCGAGCAAATCCAATTTTTCGATGTAGCTAAAATAATATGAGCGATCGTAATTTCCTCATTTTTAAATGGGAGCAGAATTCAAAAGTAGAGCTGATTCCACTCTTGCCGAGCACTTTACCCCCTTCTTAGACTCCGAAAAGCACTCCTATTCTTCGAACACTCCTGCTCCTGAGTGAAAATGAGCAAACCTGTGTTGTGAATAGGACACATGGAATGTGGTTCATATGAACTGTTTTTTTTGCAAAATGCATGATTAGGGCAACTCCGTTGAAAAATATGCAAAAAATCGTCGAAATGTTTTAAATGAGAGGGTACCGTAAAGTTACCAGACTCTCCATTCCTTCGGACTCCCTGGCCTTCCGCTAGTCTATAGCGATCCGCTGGCCGTTCAGCTCGCCTACAGAGATTCCCTGGCCGTTCAGCTCGTCTATAGGGACTCCCTGGCCTTTAGCTCGCCTATAGAGACTCCCTGGCATTCAGCTCGCCTATAGAGACTTCCTGGCCTTCAGCTCGTCTATAGAGACTCCCAGGCCCCTAAGCTCGTCTATAGAGACTCCCAGGCCCCTAAGCTCGTCTATAGAGACTCTCTGGTCTTCAACTCTCCTAGAAAGACTCCCTGGCCTTCAGCTCGTCTATAGGGACTCCCTGGCTTTCAACACGTCTATATAGACTCCTTGGCATCCAGTCCGCCAACATGGACTTCCTGGCCTTCTACACGTCTATAAAGACTCCCTGGCCCTTCAGAGACTCCCTGGCCTTTCAGCTCGTCTATAGAGACTCACTGGCCTTTCAGCTCGTCTATAGAGACTCCCTGGCCTTTCAGCTCGTCTATAGAGACCCGCTTGCCGTTCAGCTCGTCTTTAGAGACCCGCTGGCCGTTCAGCTCGTCTTTAGAGACCCGCTGGCCGTTCAGCTCGTCTATAGAGACTCCTTGGCCCTTCAGCTCTTCTATAGAGACTCCTTGGCCCTTCAGCTCTTCTATAGAGACTCCCTTCAGCTCGTCTATAGAGACCCGCTGGCCTTCAGCTCGTCTATAGAGACTCCCTGGCCTTCAGCTCGTCTATAGAGACTTCCTGGCTTTTCAGCTCGCCTATAGAGATTCCCTGGCCTTCAGCTGGCCTTTCGCACGTCTATAGAGACTCCCTGACCTTCAGCTCGTCTACAGAGACTCCCTGGCCTTCAGTCCTCCAACATAGACTTCCTGGCCTTCTACACGTCTATAAAGACTCCCTGGCCTTCAGCTCGTCTACAGAGATTCCCTGGCCTTCAATTTGTCTATAGAGACTCCTTGACTTTCGGTCCGTAAGTGATTTGTCAACAATTTTCACTTTTTTTCTTCTTCTGTGAAAAGAAGACCTTCGGGAGCTCTTCTATGAAAAGAAGACCTTCGGGAGCTCTTCTATGAAAAAAAGACCTTCGGAAGCTCTTCTATGGCAAGAAGACATTCGGACGCTTTTCTATGACAAGAAAACCTTTGCAAGCTCTTCTATGACAAGAAGACCTTCGGAGGCTTTTCTATGACCAAAAGGCCTTTGGAAGCCCTTCTATGAAAATAATACCTTTCGGAGGCTCTTCTATGAAAAGAAGACCTTCGGTAGCTCTTCTATGACAAGAAGACCTTCGAAAGCTCTTCTATGAAAAGAAGACCTCTGAAGGTCTTCTATGAAAAGAATACTTTCTGCAGCTCTTCCTTGAAAAGAAGACCTTCGGAAGCTCTTCTATGAAAAAAAGATCTTCTGAAGCTCTTCTATAAAAAGAAGATCTTCAGTCCTTCTAAAGTTCTTCTATGAAAGAAGACCTTCTGAAAATGTGCAATAAAAATGCTAAGGCTTCTATGGAAAAAGATCCTCCATAAATATAAGTAAATCGGAAGCTTTTCTAGTGGAATATAAAGATGATGGAGGAGAACCTTCGAAATCTTTTTGGGAACAAAGCTTTTCGGAAGCTGTTCTATGAATAGCGTATATTCACAAACACTTCTTTGGTATAGAAAATGTCCAAAGCTCTTCTATTTGTAGAAGATCTTCTAAGGTGTTTCAATGGATATATAAGGCCTTCCAAAGCTGTTTTATAATTAGAAGATTTTCTACAGGCCTTCTTTTTAAAGAATGCTCTTTAAAGCTTCTAAAGCTCTTGTACGTTCAAACTGTCCTCTAACCGAATATAATATATTCGAAGACTCGTCTGAGACTAGAAGGCCTTTCAAAGCGACTTTACAGAGCTTTTCAATGAAAATAATAGCTCTTGAAGCTCTTCAATGAGTAGAACTCTAAAGATTTTCTATGAGTGGAATATATTAGAAAGATCTCTGCGAATAGAATGACTTTAGAGAGATTTTTCTATGAAACAAATAGATTTTAAAGCTTTTGCTCTGCGGTATTTTGACCCATTCCCGGTGAAGCGCTTGCTTGAGGTGATCGACACTTTGGTATTTTTAAGTGCCAACCTTGCTTTCCAAAATACTCCAGACACAATAGTCCAACGAATTGGTATCAGGAGATTTTGTTGGCCATTGAGCGCCGGGAAATGAAGCGAGGAATTCTTGGGTGGCGCGTACTGAGTGGGATGGTCCTGAGTCCTATTGGAATGTCGAAGGTCTGCGGCCAAAATGTTTGCGTGCCCAAGGCTTTAATACACCCTTCAGAATATTTTCGCGATAATATTCGGCATTTATTCTGATGCCACGATCGATTAATTCGAGCGGAGAGCGACCATCGGCTGTTATGGCGGCCCACACCATCACCATGGCCGGCGCTTGAGTTCTGGTGGCCAACCGAGGGTGCACATTTTCAGCGGACCTCTTTGGCAAGTAAAAGCGATCATGGCTTAGAAATGATAGCAGTCTGAAGTTATTTGCAGTTTTTTCCAACTCACCCTGTATTTTTGCTAAAGCAAGATCTGTTATGATGATGATATATATCTGCCAACCCCTTCTGCTACCTCACCACAAAGGGTCACAATTTCCAACTTATTACCAACCAATTTACTTATATCTGTCATATCTTGCGAAACAAGTCAGAGATTCTGTTTTTTTAAATTATTGCATACCTCATATAAAGTGTAGGATGCAGTCGATATAGTCCAAACCTGGCACATCGCAATATTTATATCATATTTATTTAGGTCCGACACGAAATGGACAATATTGGCCATTCCTTCGAAACCTAATAAAGGGTCAAAAACAGTAGTCAAAATATATTTAAATAATCGAATAATCAACTCCTCTACTTTGAGTCACAGAAAAAGGAGCTATCCAAATATTGTCTGAGTTAATGTGTCTCCAATTGAAAACTAACATCCGGAGTTGTGTCTATAACCCATCCATCCATTGACTATTCAAAAAAGAGAAAAAGAAGACATGATTAATGACTCAATATTAGTTTAAGAATAAAATAAAAAGTGAAAAAACCCCAATCCCTAGAAGTGAAAACTATATTTTCGTACTTAGACTGCATTTTTTTTTATTTTTGTTGTGGTTCGGCGAAGGAGCTTGTCAAAGATGCTGCTTTTGCTGCTGCATCATCGTCTTCATCACTCTCATCATCAACAACAACAGCGTCAACATGACTTGAATTGTGATAAATAAAAGATAAGTATGTGTGTGTGATTTTCTGCATGAGATTTAAGACCGAATGGAATGTCCGTCCAAACACCAGCATGCCTGCCTGCCATTCCAGCTACATAGACTCCAAGTCATTCATAAAAGCTAGTCTGATGAAGCTATAAAAATGCCATGAGATAAGTGTGAAAGAATCAGCAAAAAAAACACCAACAAATAAAAAAGACCAACAACAACAATCCTGAAAAATAAAAATGAACTGGAAAATTGTTTAATTTTCATCAATGTTGAATGGATTAAATTTCACTTCAGTGTAGAATAATTTTCCTTGCAATTTTTTTTTTAAATACATTTTTTGGGAAAATTTCTGTGGAAAGAGGGGAAGTGCTTTCTTCATATTTCCCATTACCAACCCGCCCCATCCATCTCCATTTCAAACATTGACAAAGAAGAAAAAGCCAGGCAGCTGCAGTACCGGTTAGCATGGTCTATGGCAGGAGCATAGCAATTGGCGTATTATTTCTGGCCATCGTTTGTGCATTGTCGGCATTAATCTTCTATTTCAGTTTGGGTAAGTAAATCTCGAGAGAATGAGAGACGGGGAAGATCTTTCTCTCTCTCTCTCTCTCTTTCTCTCAACATCTAAGTTAATCCCTTTAGTATCGTATTTATTTATAGTATTTATATTTATATTTATTTATTTATAGTATTATTTGTTATTATTATATTATTATTATATACTATTATTATTATTATTATTATTATTATTATTATTATTATTATTATTATTATTATTATTATTATTATTATTATTATTATTATTATTATTATTATTATTATTATTATTATTATTATTATTATTATTATTATTATTATATTTATTATATTATATTATTATTTATTTATTTATATTTATTTAGTATTTATTTATTTATTTAGTATCGTATTTATTTATTTATTTAGTATTTTACATTTCATGACCATAATTTTTATATCCTCCACCACATTATGGAGGGTATATTAAGTTCGTCATTCCGTTTGTAACACCTCGAAATATACATTTCTGACCCCACAAGGTATACATATTCTTGATCAGCATAAAATTTTATGGCGATTTAGCGATGTCCGTCTGTGGAAATCACTCTATCTCTAGCCGAACGAAATGAGATAGGTTGATAAAATTTTACTCAATTGTGTAGTATATCTGTAGCACTTTTGGTATTGAAAATGGATGATGTAGGTTCACGTTTTGGGAGAGCCCCCATATAATGGTACCTCCCTATATTCGGTATTTTGGTGATCTAAGCGACATTATTTACCGGAATTATTTCAAATTTGGTGTTTGTAGTCCGTAATGGATACTACAGCCTATAACAAAAAATTGTCTGTGCAGGTCCAAGTCTTCGTATAGCCCCCATATGACGGTACCTCCCGATATTCGGTATTTTGAAGATTTTAGCGACATTATTCATCGGAAATGTTTCAAATTTGGTATTTAAAGTTCGTAATAGATACTACAGCCTAAGACAGAAAATTGTCTGTGCAGGTCCACGTCTTCGTATATCCTCTATATCATGGTACCTCCCTGTATTCGGTATTTTGATGATTTTAACAACATTATTTACCGGATTTGTTTCAAATTTAGTATTTGAAGTTTGTAATGGGTACTACAGCATATGACAGAAAATTGTCTGTGCATGTCCACATCTTCATATAGCCCCCACATGACGGTACCTCCCGATATTCGGTATTTTAATGATTTTAGCGATATTATTCACCGGACTTGTTTCAAATTTGGTATTTGAAGTTCGTAATGGATACAATAGCCTAGGACAGAAAATTGTCTGTGCAGGTCCACGTCTTCATATAGCCCGCATATAACGGTACCTCCCTATATTCGGTATTTTGATGATTTTAGCGACATTATTCACGGGAATTCTTTCAAATTTGGTGTTTGAAGTTCGTAATAGATACTACAGCCTAGGACAGAAAATTGTCTGTGCAGGTTCACATCTTCGTATAGCCCCCATATAATGGTACCTCCCGATATTCGGTATTTTGGTGATTTAGGCGACATTATTCACCGGAATTGCTTCAAATTTGGTATTTGAAGTTTGTTATGGGTACTACAGCCTATGACAGAAAATGGTCTGTGCAGGTCCACGTCTTCGTATAGCCCCCATATAATGGTACCTCCCGATATTCGGTATTTTGGTGATTCAAGCGACATTATTTACCGGAATTGCTTCAAATTTGGTATTTGAAGTTCGTAATGGAAACTACAGACTAGGATAGAAAATTGTCTGAGCAGGTCTACGTCTTCGTATAGCTCCAATATAACGGTACCTCCCTATTTTCGGTATTTAGATGATTTAACCGACATTATTCACCGGAATTGTTTCAAATTTGGTATTTGAAGCTCGTAATGCATACTACAGCCTAGGACAGAAAATTGTCTGTGCAAGTCCACGTCTTCGTATAGCCCCCATATAATGGTACCTCCCTTTTTTTCGGTATTTTAATGAATTTAGCGACATTATTCAAATTTGGTATTTGAAGTTCATTATGAATACTAAAGCCAAAGACAGAATATTGTCTGTGCAAGTCCACGTCTTCGTATAGCCCCCATATGACGGTACCTCCCGATATTCGGTATTTTGATGATGTTAGCGACATTATTCACAGGAATTGTTTCAAATTTGGCGTTTGAAGTTCGTAATGGATACTACAGCCTGAGACAGAAAATTGTCTGTGCAGGTCTAGGTCTTTGTATAGCCCCCATATAACGGTACCTCCCGATATTCGGTATTTTCATGATTTTAGCGACATTATTCACCGGAATTGTTTCAAATTCAAATATTTGAAGTTCGTTATGGATACTACAGCCTATGATAGAAAATTGTCTGTGCAGGTCCAAGTCTTCGTATAGCCCCCATATGACGGTACCTCCCGATATTCGGTATTTTGATGATGTTAGCGACATTATTCACAGGAATTGTTTCAAATTTGGCGTTTGAAGTTCGTAATGAATACTAAAGCCTAAGGCAGAAAATTGTCTGTGCAGGTCTAGGTCTTCGTATAGCCCCCATATAACGGTACTTCCCGATATTCGGTATTTTGGTGATTTTAGCGACATTATTCACCGGAATTATTTTAAATTTGGTATTTGAAGTTCGTAATGGGTACTACTGCCTAAGACAGAAAATTGTCTGTGCAGGTCCACGTCTTCGTATAGCCCCCATATAATGGTACCTCCCTTTTTTCGGTATTTTGGTGATTTAAGCGACATTATTCACCGGAATTGGTTCAAATTTGGTATTTGAAGTTCGTAATGGGTACTTCAGCCTATGACAGAAAATTGTCTGTGTAGGTCCACGTCTTCGTATATAATGGTACCTCCCGATATTCGATGTTTTGATGATTGTAGCGACATTATTCACCGGAATTTTTTCAAATTTGGTAGTTGAAGCTTGTAATGCATACTACAGCCTAAGAGAGAAAATTGTCTGTGCAGGTCCACGTCTTCGTATAGCTCCAATATAACGGTACCTCCCTTTTTCGGAATTTTGGTGATTTTAGCGACATTATTCACTGGAATTGTTTCAAATTTTGTATTTGAAGTTTGTTATGGGTACTACAGCCTATGACAGAAAATTGTCTGTGCAGGTCCACGTCTTCGTATAGCCCCCATATAATGGTACCTCCCAATATTCGGTATTTTAATGATTTTAGCGACATTATTTACCGGAATTGTTTCAAATTTGGTATTTGAAGCTCGTAATGGGTACTACAGCCTACGACAGAAAATTGTCTGTGCAGGTCCACGTCTTTGTATAGCCCCCATATAAGGGTACCTCCGATATTCGGTATTTTGGTGATTTTAGCGACATTATTCACCGGAATTGTTTCAAATTTGGTCTTTGAAGTTCGTAATGGGTACTACAGCCTATGACAGAAAATTGTCTGTGCAGGTTCACGTCTTCGTATAGCCCCCATAAAATGGTACCTCCCTATATTCGGTATTTTGGTGATTTTAGCGACATTATTCACCGGAATTATTTTAAATTTGGTATTTGAAGTTCGTAATGGGTACTACTGCCTAAGACAGAAAATTGTCTGTGCAGGTCCACGTCTTCGTATAGCCCCCATATAAGGGTACCTCCCGATATTAGGTATTTTGATGATTTTAGCGACATTATTCACCGGAATTGTTTCAAATTTGGTCTTTGAAGTTCGTAATGGATACTACAGCCTATGACAGAAAATTGTCTGTGCAGGTCCACGTCTTCGTATAGCCCCGATATAACGATACCCTCCCTATATTCGGAATTTTGATGATTTTAGCTGCATTATTCACCGAATTTTTTATTCAAGTTTCACTTTCGGTATTTTTACGATTTTAACAGAATTTTTAACGGATTTTATTTTTTTTGAAAATTGCCAAATTCGTTTCAAATTGTGGAGGGTATTCAAAGATCGGCCGAGACGAACTTACTGCTTTGTTACTTATTTTAAATATTATATCTCTATAAAATATAACAATTTTACTTATTTTATAATTTTAAATACCTCTGAAAAATTGTCCTAGGATCACATTTTCCACGTCATAATCTTGACAATTGTATTTTATGTCTCCACTTAAAAGCCCATTAAAATCCCTCATATTAATACATTTACATTTATTTTGACTAACACACACACACAAATGGCAAAGAGTTGTCTTTTCAGCCCCTAAAAGTAGGCCATAAAATTATTTTATACACGCACGTGGAATATGAATTTTGTTTTTGCAAACGTTATTCAAATGCCATAACATCTGTTTTGAGCAAAATTGTTAAACGAAATTCCGAACACGTATGAATTTTTAATATTCTTGAAAAACGTTTTCAAAGAAGTAACAAATTATTTTTATGTGGGAAATATTTTAATATTATTAACATATGATTGAAAGAATATTATTTAAAAGAAATGAAAATAATAGGGGGAAATTAGAAAGTATCATGGAGTTATAAAAACAAATAAGGAAACAGCCATAAAAACAAACAGAAAAATCTCGATCGGGTAGAACTTGTAATTTCCTAAACTTTTTGGAATGAAAATGCTAAATTTTAAAATAATTTCGCTTTTTAACCATGGTTATCTAGGTGTGGATTTTTAACCAATATTTCCAGAGCCTTCTATTCGTGTATTTGTGACAAATATTTCCAAAGTTATAAATTATTTCCAGAGCCATCTAGGCGTGGATTTTTAACCAATATTTCCAATGCCATCAATCCGTAGATTTTCGACCAGAGCCTTCTAGTCGTGGATTTGTAAAAAATATATCAAAAGCTATCAAATATTTCCAGAGCCATCTAGGCGTGGATTTTTAACCAATATTTCCAAAGCCATCTAGGCGTGGACTTTCAACCAATATTTTCAATGCCATCAATCCGTGGATTTTTGACCAGAGCCTTCTAGTCGCGGATTTGTAAAAAAAATATCCAAAGCTATCAAATATTTTCAGAGCCATCTAGGCATGGATTTTAAAAAAGATATTTCCAAAGCCATCCAGGCGTGGATTTTAAAAAA